GTGCATTAGCGCTTAGTGATTACACTCTACAAGGTGCATGCGTTCCACGTAAAGGAAATCCCATATTTTTCTATGTCATTAAAGAGGTATCATACAGGGACCATAGAATTTTGCTATGTATGTGGACCACGTTGTACATTTCATGAGGAGCAGTGGTAAGCGGCCAGGTACGATGCTATGTGAATGGACATATCGCGGTTTTAAAAAGTCTCATAATTAGAAACTTTTTTAAAACCTAATTATACTCCTTTCTTAGGTATAAAATATAAAGAAGACGTGATTTTTTATTGATTGACTAAAAGAAAGCATATTTTTGTTTGTGGTTTCTATAAAATATATTTGAATTTCCAAGACCATCGAAAATCAATGGGGAAAATGCATGCTACTTAAGTAGTCATTTTTTACCGAGCACGCTTTCTACAGGAGATTGAAAAGAAGTGCATTTAAAAGGCGACATCCTGCTGAGTCCAAAATGTTATAAGAGTATGCCTTACGATAATCAGTATCACAACCGCGACCAAGTAATCCTTCCTAATCGAAACTGCATTTCAGGATTTCAGCCAACATTTCATGAGATAGGTCACGTACTGCATATCCGATTGCAGTAGTGGTTAGTGTGAATTGTAATTCAAAGTCCTTTCGCATATAGAGGCATACTGACTTTTAATGGGGCACCGCACTAATTAGTGCCTTCAGACAGGGCTTATTTCGGCTTTAAAATATTTACTACCTCCCGTAAAATCTGAAACGCCTTCTGCATGTTACTCCGCTTCAGGATTTCTAATTTACACGTTATTTTATCCTAAACTGCACTCATATATACAGTCAATGACCGATCACATGAAATGTTGGTCGAAATTCTGAAATGTGCCTTCGACTGAGAAGGATTTCTTAGGTGGGGTCGTAATATTGATTATCACGCGGCATAATCCTGTAATATTTCGGACACGCCAGGATGTTGGCTTTTGAACGCACTTCTAATCGACCTCCTGCAGAAACCACACTCGGCAAAAATTAACTACTTAAATGGCATGCATTTTCACATTGAATCTCGATGGTCTTTTAAATTCAAATATGTTTTATAGAAAACATACAAAAAATATTCTTTCTTTTACTCGTTTGGTAGAAAATTGCATTGTCTTCACAATTTACACCCAAAGAAAGCGCATATTTAGGTTTGGAAAAAGTTTCCCAGTTTCCGAATAATTTTGAGCTTGATCAGCCATTTCATTAGCGTTTATCGATTTCACTCTGCAAGGTGCATGCTTTCCGCGTAAGGAAACTCACATATTCCTCTATGCCTTTAAAAAGATACCATGTGGGGTTCATAAAATATTGCAATGGATGCGGACTATGTTCTACATTTCGTGAGAAACATTGACAAATGGACATGTGCCATGTTGTAGGAATGGACATTACACGGCCTTAAAAATTTTTCATAATTAGAAACTTTTTGAAAACCGAAATATACACTTTTCGTGCATTAAATATGAAGGCAATGTGATTTCCTACCAAATAAACAAAATAAAGCATATTTTTGTACGTGTTCCCCATAAAATATACTTGAATTTATAAGACCATCGAAAATCAATAGGAAAACTGCATGCTACTTAAGTAGTCATTTTTTTACCGAGTGGGGTCTCTGCAAGCGGTCAAAAAGGGCATTCAAAAGCCGACATCCTGGCGAGTCCGAAATGTTACAGGGTTATGCTGCATGATAATCAGTATAACAACCCTACTTAAGTAATCTTTACTAATTGGAAACGCATTTGAGAATTTCATCCAAAATTTCATGAGATAGGTCGCGCACTGTAATTATCGGGACACATTCGAATTCGATGAAGCCGTTAAGACCCCAGTCTAAACAGAGCGACGATGTTTTTTTCTAATCACTCCTGACAAACACACCGGTTTCCGGAAGAGTCGATTGCTCCTTCGAATTCCTATCGACTACTCCCAGCAGGAAATTGGGATATCGAAAATGTGCCCACTAAATTATTACTACGGTACTCACCTAACGTGCAGTTCCTTTTTTCAGGACGACCTGTGTATAGACACATGTACCTTTTTACCCCTTTCAGCTAATGTATTTAGCGGCGAACTCGAGAAATCTGAAATAGATAACCAAATCAATAGATTGAGACCTTGTCGTTGCTGCGCGGATGATGTACTTGCCGTCACGGCTATACGAGTCAACGTAGCTGCTCTCACATATGTTGCAGATCATGCGCATCCGTTAATGAAATTCGCGTTGGAGGTGGAGATGGTAGGTTCGCAAGCAACTTTCGAAGAAGCGTCTAGCAGAAGAGGACTTGGCGTGGACATCACCCGACCTTGAGCAAATTCGTAACCTCTAGCCAGAAAGGCAATTTAGTCGGCTATGTAGGCAAAAGGGCTAAGAAATTCAGTTTGCCAGACAGCATCAACGGGGGGGAGCTTGCAAGGGTTCAGAACCTGTTTCGCGAGAACGGACGCCCTGAATAATCGCTCGCAGAGAATACTATCGGGATACCAACAAAATCCATCGTACCGACAGCTGGGAAGAAAACTTTATTCAGCAGAGTTCCCTTTCAGAGGAACGCGGCCAGTGAACGTCTGAGAAGGCGCTACGACCGCGCTGTTTCACTGGCTATCCCAGCAGCTAGAGTTCGGATAGTGTTCTTAATCAACCCCATTCTGCACGGGGAAGGAAAGGAAAGGCTTTCAGCCCACATCACTTTCGTGTGCATTTACTCCTTTACTTGCTCCTATGGAGGAGGTCATGTTGGTCGCACGAGTCAGGCATACGCAAACACCCTCCGTCATGGCTGGGAAAAGACCCAATCGAGAGCGTAAGTAGCGTCATCCTCGCACAGGTGATTGATTAAAGACATCATGTTGACCCCAACGAAGTCTTCTGCGTGTTTTAGAGGGTCTCACAAAACTATTCAAAACCCCTGGGGCAGCGTATACTAACAAGAGCAGAGACGACTACCATCAAGCTACGCAAGCTGGTCTCGTGTGCAGATACCAACTTCGCGCAGGCCCCAAATTTACCATGTCCGAAAGTCGCTTAACCCATCAACTGCATACAGCTATCCGCGCATTCCTCCACTCCGTCCTGACACGTCTCTTCCCAACCCTTTCCCCGCCCACTTATGAGATAAGTAAAAAATAACTCGATTTCTCTAAGTACCCATGTGTTCTAATTGACCCCCTTACAATATAAATACCAGTGTCACAGAGGGCGGTAACAGAATGAAGTCACAATCTAAAACGAAAGGAAAGGCGACCACGTTCGGTACAGAAGGCAGATCCGACTGCGAAATGCAGGCGTGAAGTTAGCTAGCTGGCCAAAAAGTATGTGCTGTATAATCGAGCTGGCGTGCTGTCTTTACTCACTCGTGTAGCCTTGTCGGTGATCGGTCGACCAATCGG